GGGGTTACATAGGGACTATAGGGTTTAGCATGGGATAATGGAAAAGAAGATGGAAACTACTATAGGGTTTAGGGTTTAGGGGTTATGTTGGGATAGTGGAAAATAGAACGGAAACTGTTATAATTGGGTTTTTCGGGTGTGTCTTTGGGTTGAGGGGGTTAGGGGCTTAGGGGTTCAGGGTTTGCCTGTCCCCCCCAATTGCTTACAATTCTGTGGGTTGTACCCTGCTTCTTACTGGGCATGTGCAACTTTCTGGGCTATACTACACTCCCGGACACTAACATGGAAACCCAAAAAGGGTCCTATACAGACTACCGTCCCTTTAAAGAGGGGCTATATGGGCTTCCATGTTAGTTTGGGGGAGTGTAACTCATTAGGGGTATATAATTGCCACCACGCTGTAGGCGGTTGGGTTTACAGGGGTTATAGGTAATCTTGAGGGCTGAACATCCAGAGCAGGATGGATTCCAAACGCCCGTACGAGCTTCTGCAGCCTCCCAATTGTCCAAGAGGGTGACCCTGACGAAAGTAACCCTAAACCCTAAACATTATCCATACGCACTACATGGCCGCAAAGTTTGGGTGCATTGCCCATGAAAGTCGGTACGATCCTAGACCCCAAGCCCTGTAGCCGCTCAAACTCCTGCAGTAATAATCTTGTGGCCATACTTCCTGCACTCTATCAGTCTTCAAGTTGCCATAAAGCTCTCAATCCTGCAAGGCCTCATTGAAATGGGACTTTCCTAAAATGAGGGGTACCATTTTGGGGGTGCCTCCATTTAGGGAAACTACCAAATCTTATCAAATATTCTGGAACCGGAATAAAGCAAATTCAAAAAACAACAAGCCTTCAGCCGGAGGTTGTGGACATGGCTCACAATGTCCTCATCAACTCGGGGCGCAGGTCCTGGCCTTACATGAGCTGCTATACCTACTGGTTTCACAGAGTTAGGGTTTAGGGTTTAGGGGAAGACTCGGCGCTAACTCAGTGAGAAGCCTTACCATAATGAGGCTCTTGCCCCCCCCCCCCTCCGGTGTAGTCCCTGTACCCTCTTGGTTAAGACATCGCTTCAGACAATTCAGTTTGTACGTAGGAAATTTCAGTACCAACTGTTCCAGTCTCCGAAAACAGTGTTTAAGATCTAGTGAGAGACATGTCTGTGCTGCCTGTGAATATCCTGAAGCACAAACGAGAGATCATCAAGACGCTGACATACTTAGTCTGCAAAATCATTCTTCCTAGCCATGTCTGAGCAAGGTGTCAATAAAGATGAAAAATACCGTCACCGCGTATCTACATAGGCCCCGCTAGTAATCTATTTGCTGGTGGCGGGTCGGGAAGAAGGAAGGAAAATAAATTGCAAACGACATCATTACAAGGCATCATATCGGGGCTACTATAGGCATACGCCTCCATTTCCTACTAACGACCCGTAAGTAATCTAACGTTGGCGACATCAAGGGGTTTGATAGGTGGACAAGTCTGTCGCCAAAACAAGAAGATCCAATGGAGAATCGGATGGGCAAGTCAAGCATGAAAATGAAAATCGGGATTGTACAGGTTCTGGGGAATATCATATGTTTAGTGAATGTAGAAGCCTGAATGATGACCAGTAACATCCCTTTGCAATCCTTGTCAAAGTGTAGTATACTATGGTCAGTACACCCCAAAGTCCTACTTGGAGTTTTCCGGCCCCCGCAGTGCGACGAGAATCCTTCTGACACACCTCCTGATTTCATCGCTATTCAGACATTTCTCAAAAGAGTTGCGCCTGTCCTTATGCGATAAACGAGCAGTTATAAGACTCATAAAAAAACACAGAAACCCCAAACATCGAACACGCCCCACATCACTCCGAGAACCCCTCAAACACCTTACCCCCGCCAAGACTCCCGAATAGAACAAATCCACCACACAGCTCAAGCACCCTTCACAACATCCTTAACCCATCCGTTCCTGCCCACAACCCATACATCGCCTAGGCAGGTCATCGTCTTCCCACGGCGCACCCTCTTCGAACAAAGCTTCGATGTATCCCAGCTTCAGGTCCCGCTGCTGAGGGTGGTACAGGATTGAGGTTATAAAGGGATAATGGAAAGAACATGGAAACTACTACAACTTGGGGTTATATGGGGATAATAACGGAAACTACTACAAATTGGGGTCACATAGGGACACTGGAAAAGAAAATGAAAACTACGACAATTTGGGGTTGTATGGGGATAGTGGACAAGAACATGGAAACTACTACAACCTGGGGTTAGGGGTTTAGGGCTTGAGGGTTCAGGGCTTGGAGGTTTGGCTCAGCGGCTTGGGCTTGAGTTGAGGGTTTACTTGGAGTCTCAGGGGGACTGAGTAAGTAGGCTAATAACTTCTATAACCCATTTTGTCACCCTCTTTAGCCTAATTACTAACCTATTTGCTAAGTCCCCCTGACCCTCGAAGTAAGGGTGTGGAGTTTTGGGGTTAGGGTTTGAATTTGTTCCGTTCCGGAATAATGATCGAGGTGCTGCTTCCAAATCCAACCTCCTGGGTCTGAGGTCGGGTTCACGGTTTAGGGTTTGAGGCAATAAATTGTAGTTTCAATTTTGTTTTCTCTTAACCCCCAATACGTTCATCCAGTGCTTAGGGCGTGAGGTTTTTTACGTTCTGGGAGAGCGGGAGCGTTTACTTCCGTGGGACGAGGATTGTTCGTGCGGTCTTCCTCAGTGCTTATTGCATCCCAGCTGGACCTTCATGCCGAAACTAACGGGTTTAGGGTTTAGGGTTCAGGGTTTAGGGTTTAGGGAACGACTTGGTAATCCGCAGGTAAAAAAGGCTTGAAGGTAACGACAAGGAATGCTATTAGGGCTTCATTGTAGCAACATGCCTATATGACCCCCCTTCAAGGAGTTTAGACTCTAGCTCATATGACGATGAGCACAGATATTGGAGACCTGCTTGCAGCTGGAAGTCGCCAATGGAGGCCCTGATTGCACGTGATATCCCTGTATAAACCTACATATCCCTGGATGCGCCTCTATATAGCTAACAGCTACATATTACATATCCTTCTGACATATCCCCGTAGTGCAGTGTATCCCGCCCAAGCTAAAGCCCTGCAGACCTTAATCCTGAGCCCTAATACAAGGGCACAAATATTTTTTCCACAAAGTATGGTCTAATATTCCAGACATTATAGTAAAGGCTTCTTCAAAAAGAGTTCAAAGTGATTTCCAAAATCTGCGAACGCCAGCAGTACCGTAATTTGTGGGCTCCGAGCTTTGCGGAAACAGTGCGAACGCCTCTGCCGCAGCGCAGCTGTTCTCTGAGCTTGGTAAAGAACATGGGACATACAGAATCTGTGGCGAGCCACACCTTGCCTTAGATATCTGAGGTCCCGAAGATCTCTAGCATACCTGTCAGTCACGGATGCAAGGACAGAAGCTGTCCAGTTGCTCTTCCAAAGAGACTCCACACTGAAGCTCCTGGTTTTTAAGAGCGCGCTGGGCAGTGAACATCCCTGTATTGCCCTGTAATACCCTATAATACCGATATTGCCCTATATTACCCTCTATTACCTTGTCTTGCCCAATATTACCCTATGTTAAGCCGATATTACCCTACATTGCCCCATATTACCCTGTTATTTTCAGGGATTCGCTGGCGATCCATCCTAGTACATCCTGCGGAGTTGCAGGTTTCTGGTCACGAGACCCTTGGCTGGTGGGTTGTGGCCAAGGCGCTGCTGAGCACAAGACGGGACATCCCCAGACCCCTGGGAGGATCTAGAAACTAGATCCCCTATAGACTCCCAACATAACCCGTATATAATCCTTATTCAATTTTCCCTATGGTTCTAGGATGTTCTAGGGGATCTAATGTTTAGCTCTATGTGAAGGTCGGGTCTGGGCTCTAGGGCTTCGGGGTATGGGGATTAGCAAGCCCTAAGCTGCACAGGTATAGGTGACTAGGATTTGGAGTTCATGGTTTGCGTGTTTAGGCGCCTAGCTGTTTAGAGCTTAGGGCTTGGCAGGGTTTTTTGCTCGTACTTCGAATCTTCCGGGCCAATCGGCTCGAGAGGATTTAGTGAAGCGAGATCCTTGAGATTTTTCTGCTATGGAGACTTTGGATGTAGAGACGGTGACCTCTTTACGCTTTGGGTAACAATGAAGCACATGACCCTAGACCCTAAACCCTAAGCCCACAATGGGGTGCCAAACTCCGGCCCAAGGAGCTATAGTCCAAACTCCTTAAAGGGGGTTACATAGGGGATTATGTAGGGGACTACTATAGGGCTTCTTAAGGGGGATACTAGGAGTTTAGACTATAGCTCATATGCACATGACACACATTGCGCGATTCAGGGACTGCAGGCGATTTAAGAATTCATCCATTTAGGGTATAGGGCTCAGGGGTTTACGGTCATCAGCGCTAGCTACATAAAAGCACTTACGGACCTTTATCCTCACATAGCCTCTCTGTGATTCCTACACAAGCTGTACATGACCTCTAAAATATGCCCTTCTTGAAGCTACAGTCCCCCCTAAGTAGATAGAATGCGGGGTATATGGGGATCTCATTATAATATACCCCAAACCCACATTCTATCTTCTTAAGGGGGACCATACCCTAAACCCTAACTGGTAGTTTCCATTTTCTTTTTCATTATCCCTATATAACCACAATATAACCCTAATATCTACTTCAGGGGGACTATATCCCTTTGTATAGCTTTGCGGCTTCCATGGCCCTTACCTCGACCCTGCGTTGTTCCTTGACGAGCTGTACACAGCCTGAAACTTACTTTTTCGACTGCAAACATCAAATCAATCCATACGTGTGACCCGAATTACCTACAGCTTCATAGTAATTACCTCTTAAATAGTAAGTATAACCCATAAAACTGTAGGTCATTGCGGTCACAGGTACACCCCAGACCACTGAATCATGTTCAAACCCTTCATGATTGGCACTAAAGTTTAGAGGTTATAGGGCTTGGGACAGGGTGCCACCGACCTCGACGAACGCAGCGCGCTGGAACAGCTGTCCGGGGCCGCTCTGGACAAGCGAGGGCACCAGAAGGCACGCTTGCCCTTTCTAAGGATAACATCAAAAACAAAGAACAACAGAAATAGCCTTGGCAAGAGTGATGATACTTGCGACGGTAGTACTGTACTGATCACGGCAGGCATGCTGCCCAGGAATGAGAATGCTGTTACTATTCATTGGTACAAGAAATTTGACGATAATAGTCTTGATGCTGCTTGCGGATATCGTGATAAACAATGTCTTGACTTCTGGTCCCGGGGGGTTCTAAACCCTAAGCCTGAACCCTTAACCGCGATTTCAGGTCCCAGGTTTTCGCTGCTTTAAAGTATGTTTGTGCCGGTAAGGATAGACTTGTTGACCCCTTCGCATGTCGTGAAAACAATGTGCTCTTGACTTGTGGTCCTGCGTTAGAACTCTAAACTTTAACCTTTAACCGCGGTTTCAGGTTCCAGGTTTTCGCTGCGCTTAAAAAGTATGTTTGTGCCGGTAAGGATAGACTTGTTGGTCCCTTCTTCTAAACCAAAAACTCCTATGTCCACTGTTAAGGGTCCCTTGATAGGGCTAATTATTGACAGTAGTTCATATAATCATTCTCTGTTCCAATCCTCATTCCGTACTAACACTCAGCAAGTCAAGTGGAATACACCTGAACTCGGAAGCCTGAAGCTGCAAAAATAACAGAGTTTAGGTTGTAGAGTACGAGATAGCAGCACTAGTTGCTAGTGGGAATGTTCAACCCTGAATTAACAGTGTTTGCCAGCACGTAAGTGAGAATGATAGCAAACGGGAAAATATGTACACGAATAAGTTTAGTATAGTCCCCTAATGGGAACAGATGTCCATTCATCATCTGGGGCAACTTTGACTGTAGGTCATATAGGGGCTGCTATTGGGATCCGCTCCTCCAGCCCCTGCCGACCCTGAAGCAGAAAACCCATGTTGAACGTGTGAACCCAACATGCTACTTGCAGTGTCAAGGGGACTTAGTCCGTAGGTCTATTCATCTATCTATCTATCTAACTATCTATCTATAGATATGTATATATATAATACATATCTATATCCTATCTTTATATATATATATATATCGATATCGATATCGTGCCCCAGATGAAAGTCGCAACATATTCTCCAATATGTAAAAGGCCTCACATGCTGACCCAAAACGCCCAAGGCTTGGAAACCCCCAGGTAACCTTAAACCCTATAAACGCTAAACCCTAAACCCCAACCCATATGCAGGTCATCCAGATTCTGGAGTGGGTCGGCTGGGCCGTCCACGAGGATGCCAAGGCGTACCATAAGAGCGCCGCTTGCAAGAGCTAAGATTCGAGGTTTCAAGGTTCCTTTTAAAGGGGTACAGGGGTTGTGTAAGGAAATAAGGGTTCTATCATGCTCTTTAAAGGGGATGTAGGGGCTATAGAGGGACATATATACGGTTGTATCGTGGCTTTCAAAACAGACATATGGGTTATATAGGAACCCATAAAGGTATGGGCCTGGCAATTTCCAATATGTTGCTTCTTTATTCCTAGCCGATGAGCTTAGGGTTTAGGGTTCAGGGTTTATGGCTTAGTTGGTACCATGAACCTCAAATACATCTCTAAGCAAGATTGGCAAATATTCGGCTTCCTGTCGTAGATTCACTGCCGACCCCAAAAGAGTGCCCAGCTTGTCTCTGTAATCCTTGTATACCTTCTTGAATTATAGTCAGATGTACCCAATACCACATTATGTAGGCTCCTACAGTATTTCTGCGAAGCCAGGGCTTTGTCAATTAAAGGCATCTTTGAAGTTGTACAGATGTGGAAAGGGACCTATATACCACTGAATACCCACCATTGTGGACCCTATATCCCTATCAAAGTGTACAAGGAACGGGTTGCTAAAACTACACCGCGGCCAGTTCCAACCGAAGCTACATGTGCTTCGATGTTTCGCTGGGGGAGGGTATATATATATATACTAACATACCATATGCATCCCTAATAGGTATCCCTAAAAGCCCGTATGCACCTCTCATGTAATCATGATAGAAGCCCTGTAAGAGTAGCCAGAACTCCTGAAATCCCAGGATGGCTGAGTCTGCGAGCGAGCCTGCCCCGCGAAGGGCACAAAAAGCCAGGGCTCGGTTAGGGTTTGTAGGGTTTAGGGTTTAGGGCTTGTAGGGTTAAGGGTTTAGGGCTTATAGGGTTTAGGATTTATGATTCATAGGGTTTTGGGTTTAGCTGCGTCGGAGTTGAAGACATAGTCTGGGCCGTTGTTGGACATAACTTCGGATATCTGTTATATCAAAACTCAGTACAGAACAAAATTTTCGAACAGCATCTGTCAAGATGCAACTAGGATAGCAGAGAGAGTTCAAAGGTCAGGAGTTTCGTGTTAAGGGTATTGCGAGAAATTCGGGTTCCCCTCATACACTCCAAGATCTTTCAGTCCGTTGTGGGAAAAACTACCAAAAAGGTGGAACTACCAAAAAGGTGGAGCTTCCTCCTGGGAGCCGCAGGGTGTTTGGATTGGGAAGGAGGAGGACGACGTTCTTCACCCCTCCATGTGGGAGGGAGCTTGAAGCTAGGGCCTGGGTTTAGAGGATGAGGAGTTTAGGGCTTAGAGTCTTGGAGCATTTGTTGTGCTTTGGGTTGTTGGTGTTTTAGGTTCGGATTGATGGTATTGCATTTGTGGCTTTAGGATATCGGGTTAGGGTGGAAAGGTGGTGTAGCAGCATGTTCCATCAGCCCTACATGTATAGGCAAGGCACAAGCACCTGCAACGGCCCAGGGTTGCCTGACATATTCACCTCCCACTGAAATTTATACCCGCCCAATAGTAAACGTTGCCAAAGATATTCCAGAATAGTTTAGGGTTTAGGGTTTAGAACCCTTACAGTTGCGGGTTCAGGGTATGGTATACCAGCATGAGAGGATTTAAGGGGCTGTGCCCAGGGGCGGGCAATGAATTTGAGCTTGCTTTCGGGGTGGGGTCCGCGGGTTGGTTATCGGCGCAGTCAGGGCACTTAGGTGTTGCCCGATTGAATGTTCGGGGTGGGGCGGGGTTCAGGGATAAGGGTTTAGGGTGGGGCCAGGGGCTTTAATCGTAGCAGTAGGGGACTACTAGAGCACCAGTAGACAGGATCCTACACTAACAGGAACACCAAAAGGGACATGTCGTTTTGAAAGCGGGCTATTTGGGGTTCCATGTTAGGCTGGGAAAGTGTTATCCCATCCCGTATATTAAATCTCCCCACCCCAAATATCATGGTTCCAGGGCCCAAATACCATAATGTAAATGGTATTTGGGACCTAACGCCCTATTATTTGGGTCCTGGCCCTTTGGGGCAGTATACCAGAATGCACCTATTTGATATTATACAGTTGGGGCCCTAAAACCTAATTTGTGTGGCTCCGGCGAGGATGCACCGACAGTGGACTACGTGGCGAGGCTCGCTACTGTCTTCGGGTCTGATGGGGGTTTGTGGCTGAGGGTTTGGAGTAAAGGGTTCAGGGTTTTCAATACGTTTGAGAAGTATTTTGAATGTGGATACTATAGTCCTACATACAGAGTAGGATTATATCCTCCTTTTCATTGCTGTTGTCAATGAGCTTCACAGTCGTAATGGCTGACTTCAACCACAAAAACAACCACTGCTGATGCGGCAGGTGTGGCCTAAACCTAAACCATAGAATGTAGGCCCTGGAGATGTAGAGTTCATGGTTTAAAGGAATCCGGGGTAGGGTTTAGGGTTTAGGGGTTTAAGCTTGCAATTGCTGCCATGCGGATGCAGTGTTCGTGGGTCGCAGCGTCGAACGAGTCATCCGCCAGGGTGTCATGGGGAGTCTTGATGTATGATGAGATTAGCTGTTCCTAGCCAGGATTCTTGGCAAGTTTTTCCAAATTGTAGTCCCCTCAACCCATCCAAATAATACTTCCTTGTCTTAGGCGGGTCCCTGTAAGAATAAAGGTTATAGTAGTTTGGGGTCTATCCTGGGGTCCCGCAACAGCCAGGGCCCCGCCGTACCCGCTTGGCGTAGCGCGCGCTCCTCTCGCCTAGAAACCCAAACCCTTGACCCGAGTCATTGTTGGATGCAGTCTCTCAAAACGTTATACTAACACCCAAGGAGAGACATGATATGGTATCATAGGTTGGCAACAGTCTCTCCAAAGGTTATACTACAACCCAAGGAGAAATTTGACAATATAGGTTGTAGGAGTATCCCAAGACGGAACCCCAACCCTAAACCCCTAACCTTAACCCCTAAACCTCAAAACCCTAAACCCTAAACCCCTAATCCCAAAATCCCCAGCCCTACACCCGAAAGCCTAAACCCCTAAACCCGACCTGAGATCTGCCAATCCCCCTCCTCCAGTGCAACGCAGAAAATCCTGCGACCATAATAGAGTAGTTTCCATTTTCTTTTCCATTCTCCCAATAGAAGCCCAAAATATACCCCTATATAATCCCTATAACTTCTGTAGTTTCCATTTTCTTTTCCATTCTCCCAATATAAGCCCAATGTATACCCCTATATAATCCCGATAACTCCTGTAGTTTCCATTTTCTTTTCCATTCTCCCAATATAAGCCCAACATATACTCTACATAATCCCTATAATCCCTGTGGTTTCCATTATCCCAGTTTCCATTTCATGTTCGATTGTGTTTTCCATTGTTATTCTCCATTACTGGGGCAATATCCCTAAACCCTAACCCCTAAACCCTGAACCCTAAACCCTAAACCCTAATCCAAGCAGGTTCATTGCCCGGACCCAGCAGAAGTACACGCACCGAGGCCCGTGCAAGGTTTCGTGAACAAAAATTGGAGGTTTCTAGGGTTTAACGGTGTAGGGTTTTTTAGGGTTTAGGGTGTAGGGCTTTTATGGTTTAAGGCTGTAGGGTTTGTAGGGTTTAGGGCTTAGAGCTTTTATGATTTAGGGTTTAGGGTCTTTAGGGTTCCGAGTTTATAAGGTAGTTAATTTCACTTGAACGGAGGTAGAAATAGCTGCGGCAATAGCTTATCCACTGTTGCACCCCGTCTGAGCTGTACAGACCCTTGAAGATGTGTCTCTAGCAAGTTTACACAGGGGCTCATGTAGCTGGGTTGATCTTTTAGGATTTGAAGTTTAGGGTTCAGGCTTTGGGGCTTAGCGTCTAGGATGTAAGGTTCTGCTTTGTTGAAGCTCGAATATTTCAATCTCAAACAAGGTGATCTTCGAGGAAGCTCCTGAGGTAGTGTAAACCCCTGATTAATAAACCCCCTCTCTTCAAGGGTCTTAATATTAGGATCCCTATTATAATGCCTATTAAGGGGAGGGGGTTCATTAATCAGGGGTCTGGAGTGGTGGCGGGCTGTGTTGCACATCGTTCGGAAATCTTTAGGGTGATGCTGCAGGGATGTTCAGTAAATGACTTATGAACACAGTGTAGTGTAGGTAGGTGCGTGGGTCCAGAGTCCGTCGGGTGGACCAGCGCGCATCAGCTTCCGTGCGCAACCTCGCAACTCCTGGGAAAAGGCAGAGGACTCCCTCAGGCACCACGTCAAGACAACGTGGGTCCACTGGGGCTCAGGCTACTCCCAGTGGGAGCTTGTGGAGACGAAGGCGGGCCGGAGTGGAAGTTCTTTGAGCATCCCCGCTGACAGGATGCTGATCTTCCTGACTCCACCCGTGAGGGCGAGAACCGCCTACGATGTGGGCGGCCTTCTGCCCGACCTCAATGAGAGCAAGAAGTGTGTCGTGACAAACGGTCAGGTCCTTCAGGTAAATAACAGCGGCGACTGCCATGGGAGTGAGGTTGTCTGGTCGGCACTCCCATCGCAGGCGGTAGGCCTAAGAGTTTGAGGCTCTGGGACAGTCCATTTAAAATGTTTAGGGTTTGGGGTTGAAGCCTGAACAAGTCCTTGTATGGGACTTTCTCAGCAGTATCCCTCTACAATCCTTAATGGAAACCCTCACGGAATCCCTCTCTCATCCCCACATTTTCTTCGATCCCCAAAGGGCCCACGATTTTGATTGAGAAGCCGCTATATCTCTCCTTCTGCTCCTTCTCACGCACGTTAGCTTAGGCTTCAGAGTACCATTTTACGAATCCAACCCAGCAGTCTACGAGCCCCACATCCTGAGATAAAGCGCTCCAATCATGATGCAGAGAAGCTAGTCAGTCATTGCGTAATGCTTGGGGCAGGCGTGTCCTGTCTAGGTACTCCAGTGCTAGCCTTTTCCCCTTTTTAGTTCGGGCTCCCGTTGTTAAAAGCTGAACATTAGGCTAGGGCTGTCTTAGCCTGGCTTCAGGTCATGTAAACCTTGGGACCTTACCTTAGCCGCTCCTGGTTAATGCTTCATGCTGGGTACTGCCCTCACTTTGCTTGACCGCATTTTTGACTGTTGCAGGGTGTGGGCAGTACCCAAGCTTCATGTTGTTGCATGCTCTTTTGGCTACTGGGTACCTTTAAAACGATCCCAGAATGCTAAGCTTTTGCTACCTTTCGAGGAGAGTATAGTTACTGTAAGGGCCTAGAAGGAGTATTTTAAGGTTTAGGGTTTAGGGTGTGTATACCCACTCCCCCACTCGAGGTCCATGCGTAGCTATAAGCCTTTCTATGTCTACTTACAACTGTTAGCCCAACTGTAAAGCCCACTAAGTCCCCTGGTTATAACTGGGGTACAGCATCAAGTGAAGCTGGGTTAGAATAAGCCTTGGACCTGGAAGTATTCAATCAGTGGCCAAAAATCCTAAGTCATTCGTGGTTTCTTCCGAAAAGACCGTTGTTTTTCTTTTTTCGACTTTATGATAAAGATCCGAATGTTTGGCAATCTTGAGGGTAAACCCTAAACCCCAAACCCTAAATCCTGAACCGTAAACCTAATTGTCCTCCAAGGCTAGGTTGGGAAACGTGCTTATTAGCATGATCTGCCCTATTCCTTACATGAGCTTTAGTCTAAACCTCGTAACGGGGTTTGTATGGGGGATTATATGGGGCACTATATTAGAGGTTATTAAGGGGGATACAAGGAGTTTAGACTATAGCTCACATATTTCCAGCATGTTCGCCCAAGTTATAGCCAGGTGATATAGTTTCATCCTGGTGTC